GAATTCAAAGTCATATTCTTTACATAAAAAGACCATGGCTCCCTCTATCAAGGCATCTACTTTGCTTTCCTTCTCTGTCCTTCCCCCAAGTTGACCTTCCTGAACTTCATTTTCTCCTCACCTCCCCCTTTCTGATCCCCTCTCTCCTATCTACCTCCACCCTCCCTCTAAGCTCCCAATTTAATCAGAAGATCTGCCACTATGGAAATTCCTAGGAATCCACAAGGATGACCCCAACTAAGCATCTGAGCAATAGTGGAGAGGCTACCTTAAATGCCCTTTCCCTACAATGAGATTGATGACTTCTTTAAATGTCATCATAGAGCCTTCATCCAGTAGCTGATGGAAGCAGAAGCAGAGATTCACTAAGCACTGAGCTGAACTCCTGGAATCAGGTGTAGAGAGGGAGGAGTGATGATCAAAAAAAGGTCAAGACCATGTAGGGGAACACACAGAAACAGCTAACCTAAGCAATTGGGAGTCCACTGACTCCAGACTGACAGCTGGGTAACCTGCATAAGACAGAACTAGGTCCCCTTAACTTGGGTGTCAGTTTTGGGCTTGGGCAGTCCATGGAATTTATTCCTATTGCATGAACTGGCATTTTCAAGCCCATTCCCCATGGAGGGATACCATTTACAGCCTAGATACAGGGGGGAGCACTTTGGTCCTGCCTCAAATGATGTGACAGACAGTGATGATCCCACATGTGTGGCCTCACCCTCTCCGAGGAGTGGATGGGGTGGGATAGGGAGTTGGTGTAGGGAGTGGGAAGACAGGAGGAAGAGGGAAATGAGATTGGTATGAAAAACAAGACTGTTTTTAATTTAAATATTAAAAGACCATGTAATGTGGGAAATTACCAATATGGAGCCAGGTAGAAATACAAGGGATTTTAATATGGAAAAAACCTTACTTACTGCACGACCTAGCCAGCTGGCATGCCAGCAGTCTGTACAGCAAGCTGAAAGTGAAACAAAAGCAAAACTACCCACCTTAATGCCTCTCACTTGCAGCCCTGGTCAGGCACACTTGTAGCCAGGCCTTAAGCAGACATGGCTACGGCATCCGCTAAAACCATGGATAAAATAAACAAAGCCAAAGCAACAGAAATCAAAAACTAAAATAAACCAGGAAAACTTGTTGGACCAACAAAATAGCCACTTAGACAAAAAGTTAAAATAATTTATTCTCTAGGAAATAATTCTAAATAAGTCACACATATAGACTATGAAGAAAAAAATGTGAAAAAAATCTGCTAATCAAATTGAAGGCAATAAATAATAAAATCAAATATTTTAATTTAATATTTTAAAATATGCCCAATATAATAATGTGTCAAACCTTGTGATATCTGGAAGAATATAAGTTTACTTAAGACAATGAAATAAAAGGGAAACACAATGAAGAAAACAGAAACTTACATTTTCAATTAGATAGGAGTATGTCTAGAAGGTACTTTTCACATTATAATGGATAGATGCTATCAAGAATGGTGTATGCTTAGAAATGGCTACAGCTAACATTTAGACATCCATTGTCTAATAAAGGCCCATCTTTGAGACTTGCAGACCCCAAGGGTAGGAAATTGAGAGATGGTAAAACTTCTAAGTGGACAAAAAGGGTTAAAGGAGACTTGAGTGAGTCAGAGTGATGGAAGAGAGACAGATGTTGCATATTTTTGCATGTGAATCTAAATTAAATTTAATAATATGTGTTAGATCTCTGATATGAAAAGTGAAGTGGGAAGAAATGAGTCAGGAAGAGTAGGGTGACATGAGTAGGTTAATTGGTAGTCTGGTCAAATTACAATGATACACCATTCTATCTGCGGTGGTTTGAATAAAAATGGGCCTATAAACTCACAGATTAGAATGCTTGTTCATTAATAAATAGAGCTAATTGACCAGAATTAGGGGGTGAAGCCTTTTAGAGGAAGTGTGTGACTGGAGATGGCCTTTAGGGTTTCAAATGCTCAAAAAAGGCCTACTGTCTCTTTCTCTTCTTGTTGCTTATAGATCTGGAGGTAGGACTCTCAGCTACTAGACAGCACTATGTCTGACTGCTTGCCACTATTCTTCCTGCCATGATGACAATGGAATAAAGTTCTGAACTGTAAGCCAGTTCAAATTAAATGCTTCATTTTGGTCATGGTGTCTAATCACAGCACCAGAAACCATAGCTAAGACACTGCATTGAAATCCATAATTTTTACACAGTTAGAATTCTAAATTAAAATACTTTTTTAAGAATACAGCCTGATGAGTAGAATTTGGACAGCAGTGTCACTTCATCTTCATCTCTCTTTTCCCTTTGACTCCATAGCCATAGAGTGAATAATTTTCCTAAGGGCTCTTCCCTTATGTGGTACAACATCACAAGCTCAAACCTGGGGTAGGGGGAGTAAGTATGAACAATAAATTACAAAATTCATGCCAAGTAAACCTCTTATCTTTGTAAGGTATTTATATCAGTTATTTTGTAGAATGACAAAAAGTGACCAGCCTACTGTGATGGCTGTCAACAGACCTAGAATCACCCCTGAGACAAACCTCTGTGGACACCTAGGAGAGATTAACTAAATCAAGAAGGGGCTCAGAGAATATCTGTGAGCATTCATCTTGATTATGCTCATTAATGTTTCAAGAAACATCTTAATTGAGGGCAGGGCCATTCTCTGGGTATGGCATCTTTGGCTGCATAAATTGGGAAGCCAGCTGAAAGGTGTTGTAGATTCAATTTCTGTTCTCTGCCTCTTGAGGGTGGATGCAGTGTTACCAACTGTCCTGAGGTCCTGCTGCTGTGACTTTGCCTTAGTGATGTCCTGTAATGTAGAACTCTATGCCAGAATAAACCTTTTCTCCCTGTACTGCTTTTGTCAGAGTATTTTATCACAGCAACAAAGAAACTAAGACATGATACTGTATTCTTCCGTAAAGAAGAAAAACCCCCAACAGAACATGAGGAAGAAGTCCATGGTAAAGGAGATTTATACTCAATTATATTTTACTGTTTGTCAGTTCAGATATTTATTAAAGTAGTTTTCTAATTATTTAGCACTATTAAATGAACAATACTACACATAAATCATGCCTGGGAACCTCTAAACCAGCTGAATCCACCCTGAGAAAATTCTACATCAAATTCTTCACAGGGGTAACTTCTGAACTCATTTCTGAGGTTAAGAGAAATATCATCATTGCATTTTCACCTCCTGGAGCATTCCTGGTCTGGCCTGTGAAAGGGTCTAGAAAAATAGTGCTCAATGAGAGAAGGCACATATTAGTGTATCAAAGTATTTCCATACATAATGTTCTATTATTAAAGATTACTTTTCAGTACCAAAGATGGTGGTATAGGAGACCAGGAAGGAATATACGATGTTTCTGGAAAAAATATACGTGCACATTTTTCTTTCTCAAGAAATTCTCAGGTCCCTTTTCTTCCAGACACAGAATCTTGAAATTAGTCTCCGTAGATGTAGAAGAACTTCAGTTGCTCACAGAATGTGGTTATGAGAGGCTTTTGATAGAAACCTGCACTATGTTTTTAAACAAGGAAGATACTTGTCTATGCACAGCAAAATTTCTTAATGGCTTTTCCTTATAACTTCCTACCAATATTAGTCAAGAATCTTAATTGAAAGCAAAAGAAACTAATTCGTAACAACCTTAAATTAATGTGTGTCTATAGGGTCTTTATGGTAAGTATATGGCTTCCCTGCTCAGTCCAGATTCCAGTGCCTTGAATTCCCTTTTCTCCTATGTCTCTGCTCCATGTTCTCATATCTTGTGTCAATCAGATTATCATCGTGGAGCCAGCTTCCTCATGCTTGAGTAATGTGGCTATATCTAAACTGTTTCACCTGCAAATTACTGAAACAACTAATTCAGGCCACAATACAGGACTAATTTGTACAAAAAAATCTCCCCTGAAACCACAATGAAAGAAAGAGTAGATTTCACTCAGTAGTGGGAAGGTGAAAACAGTGAATATTCACAGCCACCTACTCTCATAAATTACTCACTGGGTTTCTAGAATCGATACAGAAAATATGTGAGTCTCATAAAATTTTCAAAGATTCCTTCCATTGAAAAGGACAAAACTCAACATTTTACACTATATACCAAAAACATTTTAGCACAGGTAAAAATGCCATCTGTGACACTCAGACATTACAGATGTCCATAGTTTCTAAATTCTGTAAATTTTGTCACCATTCACTGATGCAGAATCATGTGTATCTTCTGTGTATCTTTCTATATATGAAATACTTCCAACCCGGACTGATAATATAAACCTCAGTCTTTAATATTAACCTCAATTTTCCAACATTTACTGTACAAATTTCCATGAAGTTTAAAGCGGACTAGCTATGTCAGTATCACAGGGTCTTCTCTTACTTAATTTTATTTTTTGAACCAGAGCCCCATGTTCTTAGACTGTCCTCAAATTTAATATCTGGTGAAAATGACCTTGAATTTGAACTCCTTATCCCCTGCCCATACTTCCCTTGAATTGCAGGCATGTATCACCACACTATGTTCATTTTGTGCTAGGGTTCTGACCCAGAAGATGCTGCATGCTAGACAAGAACTCTACCTACTGAACCACATCCATAGCTTGTGTTTCTTTAGAAAATAATAAATTCAACAGAATATGGCAAGGTTAGAAGGACACTGAGGACAATCTATAAATGCTCTAAACTCTAACTGTAGGATGTACAAAATAGATTTGGATTTGTCTGAATTATTTTCATCTATAATGAAGTAACACATTTACTCACTCAGTGTGCATCATGCTAGTGTAGTATATTAACATCTAAAGAGCCTTGGTGTTTGCAATTAGTGTGTGAAGGAATATTGCATCAGAGAGGCACAGCCTTTGTGACCCGCTGATATTTATTCACTTAAAAATAAATTTACTACAGCAAGAAATAGGCCCCAAATTATTCAATAAAAAAGAAATTATCTTCACTAAATATTTTAATCAATACATACCCTTTGCTGAATCCTCATTATAATGTTGTCAATATTCAGAGGGAAAAGATCAACAGAAAACACAGTTCATGGCTGGCAGTTTCAGAGGGAATTTCCTGTTTGTGGACTGAATTGCTCATAGTAGATTGGTATGTTTCCCTCTAGTGGTTAAATGACATTTAACTCCATCTACCAAGTCACCTGTATAAAAAACAAAGGAGGGAATTAGTATAAGGCAGCATTTAGTGTGGAGGGGGGAAAGTCAGGTTGGAAAAGATTTGCAAGTAGAATCAAGAATATTTGTTATGTAGAATGTAATTCATAATTTTAAATACCTGATCAGTTTCTACAGGCTGAACAAGGAGAGAATATATTTTAAATGGTTGCTGATGAGAGATGCTGATGACAAGTAAGGAAATGAAAATCAGAAGGGGAAACAATTAAAATACTTAGTAAAACCAATTCATTTTAATGTGACACAAGAATAGTAATGAAGCTACATTAGCAATTTTTAATTCCAAGCTACATTTCTTATTTAAAAATCTCTTTTAGAAATAATTTTCATTTTTGTCAAATTTAAATTTATCTTCTGACCTCATTTCAATGAAGCCTGATTTCATTTCTCCTCTGACCCTGTAGCATCAAGGTGGACAGTGCGTCGCACAAGAAGAAGAAGTAGTGACACGACAATCACAACAATCATTTTCCACATACAGCATTCTTCCTAAAATATTCCTCTAAACAAATGCGGCAGTTTATTCCTTAAACTGGCTTTGTGTACCATTTTAACATGCAGGCCGATTACAGAAGAGATTCCATTTTCTTTGTTCAAAAAACTACAAGCGGGTTCAGGTATTGACAATCAACTGAACAGCAAAATGTCACACCAGCTCCAAATATGCACACTAGGGTTCCCTGAGCAATCAAACTTGCTGAAATTAAGGGTCAAAAGGCAGCACTGTGACTTTAGACAGCCCAGGGGAAGACAAAAATCTCCCACCTCTGTTGTGTTCTGTGAACTGACCATGATCACAGAATAAGGAAAATAGCTTCCAGCCCACAGGCTGGTTTGCACGCCAGAAGCACCTGCAGATATTGTGTGCAAAGATGCTCACAATGCCAGGCTTTCAGAAGCACATGAAACTAGTAGTCCATCCTGTTTCTCACAGGAAGTATGTGTGTTCTATAGAACATGAAAAATGACTGTGATACAGACAGACAGCTGCACGAACTTACACACATGCATACACACACACACACACACACACACACACATACACACACACATACACACACACCATTTTCAACTCAACTCTTCAGCTTTCTCTGCACTATGAATTATTAAACAAGTAAAAGGAGGAGAGCTGAAAGCAGAAGCTTGGAATTATCAGCTTATAACACACAAAAAGGCTATAGATCTTCAAGGAGAGAGGCGGAACAAAAAGAAGCAATTATTTCACCGGTCCTGTTTTTGTTGAACAGATTATAAACAATGTGACCCATCCATTTATCTTGCCTCTGTAAGGAAAATAAGCAGATGTAAATGGAACTACATGCAAGTATCGATCATTTACTTCGCATGTCTCTCCATTGTCCACAGGCAGCTGTGGAGAAAATATGTTAAAAATGATTAAGCCTTGCTGGAAAATAGAATAAAAGGGACAAATATAAAACTCTGCTATTTTCATTTATATTTGACAACAGCTACATTAAGCTGCAGGGGAATAAGGAAAAGGTCCATGGATTTTTAGAAACCTTGAAGAAGGTTAGCTCTTCTGAAATCTAAAATATTAAGATAGTAGATGTGCATCTTTTACATACTGAGGTCAAGTAACATAGATTAGAAAGAAGAAATGTGTTAATTACTTGGCATTATTATAACAAAGCGAAGACATGTAGTATCTCATTTGATGCTTATATAATTTATAAGAAATGAAAGGCTAGAACCAACAATAGAACACTGCTTTAATCTGAAGTTATTTTGATGTTTCCATATTTTCTCATAAATTTGCAGTAATTTTCAAAATAAAACTGTAATCACATCCTTTCTCATTCATCTACTAGAACCAGGTACATTTACTGTCATATGTCCCATATCTTTCAAGAAGGGTATTGCATCTATATGTAGTATAAACTGGCCTTTCTTATTGATACAACATTAAAAACAGAGCATGTGTTTTTACACATATAATGCGTAATTTAGTCACTACAATGTATCAAATTTACAATAATAATGTTTATAAAGACAACTGCCTAGAACTCAATGGAAAGAAATTCTACACTGTGTCTCTCTTTCATTGTGACACTGAACCTAGCCAATCTGGAACAGGTTTATAAAGTAGTCCCATTAAAATGAAGAAAAGAATGTAATCTTGGTAAAGTGATAGCTCACTCGAAGTCCGGAGATGGGTTAGCAAGGGTTTATGGTAAATGGGGAATAGATATAAGAAAAAAAAATGCTGAAAACAACAACAGTACAAAAAGCCTGATCCAAAGCAATTTATAGTACGATTCATGGAAAGTATTGACATTATCAGGAATACTTGTTAGAACTCCATCATGTTTATTTTGTTACTTTCCTCCCATAGTTGAATAATTTCATTTTCTGAAAGAGTTGGAGGAAACTTTCTCTTCATTTCCATATATTCTTTATGGAGTTCTGCCTTGTAGACAAAGATAAACAACAATGGCTGACATAAATATTTCAAGATAATAAACACACTGGACAGGAGTAATGATGAAGACCTATGACCAGAAAGCTGTGATTAAGTTAAGACATGCACATAGAAAATGATGAAGACCAAGCCATTGTGTAGCTAAGCAGAATGCTGTGCCAATGTGAGCAATAAACTTGATTTTCCATCTGTGAGGTAATTATTTCTGGGGAAATTCCCTGAATGGGGCACTGAAATGCCAGCTCTCATGGGGAAGAAAGTTGGTATTTAAGATCTGAAGTGCCTCTCAAGAAGCTGAGAAATAGAGGCAGAGAAGGGACTTACTAACTGAAACTGGGTAGTGCTCCATGCTGCTGCCTTGTACATGCTGATACTTGAAGATTCTAAAAGTCTAAATTCTGTCAAATGTACCTTTAGTTTGCTTTGCCCCTCAGCACTGACAAGTCTGATGAATTCCTCCAATGTGCCAATAACCAATGTATCAACTATAAATTAAGAAGAACCAAAGGCAATACCTTTGTGACAGCAAATGGAGGCTGTCTAGCAGGTCTATCAGAGAAGTCCCCAGCCTTCCCATCAACACATTTTCTTGGACAAAGACTAAGAGGCATCTCTTCCTTTTCTGCTTGCATGATAAGTCTCCCTCTATCCTTCCTTACTTTCTCCCTTTCACTTTGTACCGCTCTCAGAGAATAAGTTTTCTGCCCCATACAGACATGACATACTATGAACCACATATCAGTGAGGGCCATGCTTGCTTGGCCATGCTTGCTGTCCACCTCTACCAGAAAAACTGGAGAATTCAATGTTCTAGAAGTATCCTTCTGAGAATTTACAGAGAAAATATATTTCTCATATTTTTACAATTAAAAATGATATACTATAGCTATGTAATTCTAATATACAATTAATTGAAAACATGTACTTCAAAACCTCTAAATTATAGTTTACAGAAACCCATTCACATGCAGAAAAATCCAGCAACATTCTAATAAATCCTTCTAACATAAGTTTTGAAAGCACTGGGGGATTACTACAAACCCAGTACATTGTTCCAATATCTTTCTACAAGCCTAGGGAGCAGCAAGGGGAGATGAACACTGACAGGAGAATCTATTCATAATTGAAACAGAGATCAAACTTTAGAATGAACAGTAGTAAAATGGCTATTTCTCTTCATAGGGCTAAGCATGCTTTCTACCTGACTGTGCTTCTTCTGAGTCCAGGAGTCAGTAGAGATGCCTAACCATTGTCCTGATCACTGTATTCCCATAGCTAACTGTAGAGCATGTAGACAAGCTGTGTTTCAGCCAAGCCTGCTTTTCCAGACTAGGAATAGAGCATGGGGCTCATCTTACTTGAAAAGCAGAGTAGCATTGATCCTGAGTGTGAAGAGCCATTGCAGCTTCATTCAAGAACTGCTGGAAGCCTAATTTCATCCTCTTTTATCATTTTACATGAGATTTACCTGCTATAGTCAGGAACATTAAGCCCTAAAGACCCTAGCACTAGAGCAGAAAGAAACCACTATATGTCATCAGAGAAGTAAGGTGGTATTGCTGTGGCCTCTACAGGTTTTCAACATCTATCAGCAATCTACATATTATGGATTGTATATCCTATAAAGTTTCTATGACTTGAACTTCCTAGCATAGTTTTCTAGCAGACTAGGTGTCCCAAAATTCTTATGTATCCAAGCATGGTGCTAAGTAGCAAAACTGGAATGTGCCATCCAGCAATATTCCAAGAAACTCATTACCTAAAGGAATTCATGACAGATTACATAGATAACAGTGCCTCGACAAAAAGTAATGAGATTCGTTTCCACAGGCATATGTGAAAATCATACTTATTCTGTGTATTGAGTTATGCACACATTTTATTGTATCTATGCAAATCCTACTGGGCTCACTGCTTTTCTCTCTGTGGAGGTTTACCTATCAATATAGCCAAGCACCTTATTTGTCTCCTTTGAACTTACTGTAATGCCATCCCTTTAAAATGCAGTATTTGTACTGCCATTAATACTTACTGCATCATGTCTGTGCCTATCACCCTGACAAACAGCCATTTCTACTGATGTGATAGCAATATTAAACACATATTATTGCTTAACAAATTACCATGATATTCAGCATCTGAAAACAATATTTACTCTCTAAACTATTTCTCTGCCTCACACATCCAGAAGTGTCTCAGTGGAGAAGTTGCATTCTATGCTTTTCATGAAGTACCATATGATCTGTATCTCTGTAGCATATATGTGATTTCACTTTATATCCCATGTGTGGTAAATGTTTCCTCCCAAGTGTGGCCCTGTTGGGAAGTGATGAAGTTTTAATTCTGAGGCCTAGTGGTGGGCTACTGTCCATTGAGCTGTTCTAACTAACCAGAAGACCAGCAATCATCTATGGGGTGACTGATCTTGGACTTGCAGCTTCC